GAAGGATCGCCTTAATCCCTGCTTTCCCCTCCACTCCAAGGCTTAGCAAGTGGAGGGAAAAGCAGGGATCAAAGCGCTGCAGGATCGCTTTGATTCCTGCTTTCCCATCCACTTGCTAAGCCCCCGTGGGGCTTAGCAAAAGGGGGAAAGGGATCAAAGCAATCCTATGCCTGCATGAGAGGGGAAAGGGATCAAAATGCAGCCGCAGAATTGCTTTGATCCCTTTCCCCCAGGTGGTGGTCCTGTCTGTACGAATGCTGGTGCCACGACGTCACAGCGTTCCATCTTGCTCAAGAGAGGATGGCGTTAGAACGGCGAATGCCAACTAAGTTATCAGCACTGAAGGATCGTCTCATAGCAGCTTTTGACAAATCTTTGTATTTGTCCTCACATAACCTGGAGATGGCCTATAAAACATATTTAAAGCAGAGACATGTTTTTAGCATTATTAAGGCAAGAAGAGTTTTCAAGTCAGCACAAATGTCACTGCTTTTACTTTTCACCTCACTCATAAATTCATTGACTACTTTTTAAAAATTTTAAATTATAACAGATGCAAAAAAGACAATAAAAATTGAAACATAAACTACATAATTCGCTACTCCTATACAATACCATGTGCCACTCTCCCCTTCAGGACTAGGTTCCAATACTTTAACTTTACAATTGTAAAAATAAAGAGAGTGATATTATATAAGAGTAATGAATATGTAATGTGTAATGTCGTTTATGTTTGAATGTTTATTGACTTTTTGTTATATTAAAGAGAAGAAAAAAACAGCTGTCTCATAAGAGTATCACCAGAAACCCAAAGTACAAAGTAGAATGTCATTATTTATTTCCACCAGCAATGTACATGGCTGCTTTCCATTTTTTATCCTGCTTTTTACCCTAAAAACTATTATGTAAGGTCTGTTTGGCTAAGGAGTATTGACCTGCATTTCATTGGATTATGAGTGAGCAAGTGGTTCAAAGTTCTATACTTTAGCCCCCTTCCACTTTCTTTGCTCCCTCAGAGCAATGATAAAATGATGCCAAGACTAATATATATAGGTACAATAACAATACATAAATTAATCTCTCTAATTTGCATAATATGTACAATCCACTTTAATTAGTTTACCATACAAATTTGTATATTATGCAAATCAAACTGTCTGATTTGTATAATATGCATATTTGGCTGCCCAGGTTTGGAGAAGTGGAATATGCTAACTCTAGGATATGGGAAAGTATATTTTAATAGTCAAAGCAAAACATTCTTATTGCCACAAAAGTTAGATCTATTGATGGTCTGTTTTGTAGCTTACGAAATTTAAGAATCCTGCTTTTGCTATAACAAAGAGCAGTAATGAAATGTCAGTTTTTCAAAGATTATAACATATAAATTCCTTCTGGCCATGGAACTGTCATAAAAGACAAATTACAAAAGACCTTGTGCGTTTTCATGTATGTGTGTTGTTTTATTCTCTGTGCTTTGCTTAAAATTATTTGTTAGACTGTGTCCCAAAATATGCCAGTATCCCAGTTGAAGCACACTTTAGGGTGGAGCTGCTGATATTCTCTTGGGCAGGGAGCACCAAACTGATGGTCTGTTCTAAGATTAGTATTCTCATCAAGCTTCTTTACTTTTTTGCTTTCTTTCCCATCTTCTTCTTGATGAGAACTGCCTGTTTTGTTTCTTTTTTTTGTTTGCTTTTTGAAATGTAATTTGTTTAGATTTTAGGATTCAGTTTCATTTCTTTGGCCCTGTTTGACATTTCCTTCTCCTTATTGATTTCTCCCCATGAGAGGGAATTTACTTTCTGGCAATTCCTTTCATCAGTAAAACTGTGGATTATTCTTTCCCCTCCCCACCTCTTTTTAAAGTAAAGATATGATGTTAGTAGGGTGCTTCTAATGTATAATGGCTCAAATCCTGTTGCTTAGTATAGTAAATTGCATTAGAGTAGGCCCATTGCATCCATGGAGATTTGATGATTGGCTCCTTCATAAGTTCTGTTGATTCAAATGCCTGCTCTAGTTGTGACTTACTTTAACATAGTATCATGGTTAGAGGAGGCCCATTTGAATCAGTAGAACTTACAAAAATGTCTAATTCCACTGATTCATTTGGGTCTATTTTAGTGTGATGTACTACACTAAGCAACAGGATTTTGGCCAACGTGTCAGATTTGTAGAGAGCTGGAACTTTGCCTGGTTTTGAAACAAGAGGTGCTATAAAATCTTTACACTGAGTAAAAGTGCATCGCATGAACATCTGCAGGGCAGAGCCTGAGTCATCCTTGCAACTTAACATTGTTTATAACTAATGTGCTTTTGCTTGTAGTCACTGAATATTTATGCCTGTTTGTCAGCATATTGCTCTTGTTTTCGTGTTGAAAACACACATGTCCCTAGAATACACAAGTCTCCTTAATGCGTGAACTGAATTTCTGAAAGAAAGAAAGGAAGGTAGGTAGTTACAGGAGGAAGGAATAAGGTTTTAACATTTCATTTGTGATGGATTTGTTTCTGGTTTTTGTTTTTTTGCTTGTTTTTGTTTTTGCAGCACCATTCTTTAAGGGAGTAACATTTCAGTATGATTGCACTGTGTCTGTCCTAACTAAGGTCAGATTCGGGTTCTGTGTACAAACCAAGTCAAGCGACAATGCACCATTACTTTCTATTTACAACTGTAGATTTTACAAGCCTGCTGGTGCCTTTTCCTTCCTCCATTCAGAGGTTACTCATGGTAATCCGCTCAGTGTCAAATGGCAGCTTGCTTTGGCAGATTCATAGTAGTAATAGTACTGTTATTAATATCAAGTAATGTGTCAATTTTCAGGATTCTAGATTTTATAGGATAAATGTCATATGTGGGCAAGTCTCTTTCATGCAGGATTTTTGACCTGCTCGTTTGAGTATTTCTCTCTTTTCCGGTTTAATAAAGCAACTTTTACCTGAAAAAATATGTAAATACCAAGACTTTTAAAACAGCAGTTTGTAGAGGTCTGCTAAGTAAATTCTGATGTAAAATGTAACCCTGAAGGAGTAGAACGGTATGATAATGCCTTACTTAGAGTATTCTTTTTTCTTTACAGTGGGAGTCAATTTATTTTATTTTTGTATAATCATCTACCTCTATGGTGACCTGGCAATATATGCAGCTGCTGTGCCAGTTTCTCTCATGCAGGTTACCTGGTAAGTGTGCCTTTGGTGACATTATTTTATACACTGACATTTTGGAGAATTAGGTGTCCATTCATATTATACTTTTTAAATGTCTGCCTGAATCTTATATGCTAAATATTTACAATGCAGTGTTTAAGAACATAGAACCCTTGATTAACAAAGATACCACATAATATGGGCAGAGCCCTTTTTGTTCCTTCTGTTTATAGTGCAGATAATTGCATGAAGAGAATTATAATTGTGGAGCTTGTTGAAAGAGGCACTTAGTATCTCTTTGTGTAAGTGAAAGCCCCATTATTGTTAATGTGCTTGTTTTGTGATCTCCACTTGTGCAACAGAGAGTGGGCAGTAGTATGTTATGCTCCCTGTTGGTCAACAGGGTCCTTCTGTATGTGGTCTTTGAGGTATACATGTGTTTGGGTTAACTTTGTAACACCAAATAGCATTTAATTTCTGTTCGGTAATTATCTACCTTTATAAGTGCTGTCTGGTGTGAGTTTTAATTGGTCCCAGAAAACTTTTTTTCCTGTCACCAGTTCTGTCATCTTTTGCTTTTTTTAAAAATATCAGTGTTATTTCATGATTCCTACATTCTTTAGTGAAAATATGATAAGAGCCTGTAGAAATACATGTTTTGTCTCTTATCTTTGAACCTTTCTTTTCAGTGGTTGTTGTAATACATATGTGTGAACAGAATCTCTTCATACTTGTGAAGCTATATTAACTGGATATGCTTTGCGTTTGCTCACCTCTTGTCAGTAGTGTCACTGGCAATCATTCAGGCAGCGTTGAAGACAGTATGAAGTATAATGACACAGAACAGTGCTGGGGACGGATCAGACGGATTGATGCTTACAGAATTTATCTGGTGAGTCTCCTTAATCAGCTCTGTTAGATGAAAACTCAGAACAAACAAGCAAGTGTTTAGAATCACACCTTAGTTGTAAATCAGCCTGCTGTTGTTGAGAGCCCTGTTCTCCCATTTCTTTTCTCCTTTCCCTTTTTCTGGATGGTTGTTAACCAAGTGGTTAGAAAACCATAATTTTTGAGTTTTGTGTTAGTAAACCCTGATAGTCCAGCTATAAGTGGGGGTGTGATGCACTCTGCTGGGAAGTTAAAACTTATTTGACATTACTCCCACACAGTAGATTCTTTGGAGTAAATTGAAACTGTGCCGGTAAGCATGATGCCGTGATTAATTTTCCATTTCTTGGTGACAAGGTAACTCTGCATAAAGAGTTACTTTATCACCAAGAGTGTTTAAATAGTTTTGCTCCTTGCCGTTCTTCCTGCATGCTGCAGTAACTGGCTGTACTCTGCCAAAGTAAGAGTAGCCATGGGGGCATTACAGAGTCATTATAGTTTATATCAGAAAAATGACTGTCTCAGCGGTTGCTCTTTTCATCCTTAAACAACATGCATGTGGGAGGGAGGGATCCGATCACCCTGTATATGTCAGTATGTCAACGTTTGAGCTGAACTCCCTTGGTTTGGGCTGCTGCTTGTCTTTTAGTAGCTTCCCAGAAAATGTCTTTCTGTCAGGAAGGGTTTGTTTCTGTAGCTGTCTTGTAGATATACAGCAAATGATACATGTTTCAGAATTTTTAAAGTACACTGGGTGTTCCAAAGAAGCTGTGTGTCTGGTATTTATAACCAACATAATGGATTAAAAATAAATATTGTCATCCAGCAAATGAGGAACAGAGAAGTGACCTCAGGCATGGTTCTCATTGGGAAACAAACATGCATGTCCATGTCTGTCTGTCGTCTGGGTCATTTCCCTGAACAGCTCCCATCTCTTTTTTCACTTTTTTTACAGCAATAATGCTGGAGCAAATTACTAGAATATTAGCAAATGTCACCGCCTGGTTAATTATTTAAAAGAAATATTATTGCTTTATTAAATTGCGTCTGGGCTGTTTTTTCAGAATTTCTACTATGATTGAAGATTTTCTAACTGAATTTCAATAACTCTTTGACCTACCAGAAGGATCTCATCAGGAAAGGCAGGCAGGCATTAATTACTGCCTGCACCTCCCAGATATTGAGCCTATAACTCATGGAGATAATTGTCATTATCCAAAGCTTGAGGAAAATGTATCTGTGTGGAAGGATCAGGTTTCCTGCTCTTTGTGGGTAAATTCTGGGATACCATTTTCTTGCTTTTCTTTGTTTTTGGATTTAAAGGATATCTTTTCATCTTGCTCTGTCTCCTGATCATTTTTCCCCCTCACATTAGACTTCGCCAGTGACACACATAACTTTTATATTCAAAATAACTTCTTCCATGTTGCCGGATGTACATTGATAAGTCTTTAAAAACTAGTAAATCATTTGATTCAGTAATGTGAGTTTGCTCTTCACTATTTTCCTTTTCCTTTTTTAACGATTTACTGTATATCCCACATTTCTTCCAGTCTTTATTGTTTGTTGTGTGGCTTAGTTATCAGCATTTACTTCCATGTCAGTTGCTTCTATGCATGGTAAGATGGGAGGCAAAAGCTTAACTAAGCTAATCAGGAAATTGTTTGTTGAGTGTCCCAGAAACCTCCTATTCTTCTCTCTGCATCCTTTTTATATCATAGACCAGGAGCTTGTGAACAGAGAGAGTAAACAGAGCATCCTGTGGGGGACTTTAAGGGGGAAGCCGGAAATGTTGTGTCACAGTGTGTGTGTAGGGTAAAAGACACGGACACTGGAGGAGCAGCTATGGTGACCTGCATCCTTGTGCCATGTTTTTCTTTCTATTGGAAGTTGTTGAAGGCTATCTCTGCAACAAGTGCAAGCTGGTTACCCTATTGAAAGAAAAAGTACAGCAGCTGAATGCTTGTATGCTGCAGCTCACTCAGGAACATTAAGTGTTTCTAGATGAAGGTGAAAGAATTCTTCTGCAGGAGCAAGAAAACAGGCATGCTTCTGGGGAAGAAGAAGAATCCAAAGTGCCGGTGAAGATATTCCAGAGAACAGGGAGGAAGGTATTGACGACACAGGTGTAAGTGAGGCATCTGAAACTGAGACAGTGGCTACAAGAACTTGCCAATAGAGGGAAGAAGACAACAATGAAACAGCAGAGGGCAAAGACCCATGGTCTCAAATGTCTCTACACCAAATTTGTGAATTTCGTTGTATGGTATACTGTGTATATACTTACAATGACAATAAATTATATTATTATTATTATTAAACAAGACAGCAGGGGAGACCAGCAAGATGAGCTTGAGTTCATAGCACAGGAAAGTGTATATGATTTAATAGTTATTACCAAAACCTGATCATAAGGGGCTCGTGACTAGAATATAGTACATTATTCAAAAAGAAGACAAAAAAGGAATGGAGCAGTAGCTGCATTGCATGTAAAAGATATGGACATACTGTAGAGTCATAGAATAATGACACTGGAAAGGTTTTATAAGGCAATGAAGTCCAAGTGCCTGCTCAATGCAGGAATGCAAATCAAAGGATATCTGCCAGCTCGTTGTCTAAATTTCTCTTGAATGCCCCCCTGTATTGCAGCACTCACCACCTCTCAAGGTAATTGGTTCCATTACTGTACTGTTCTAACTGTTAGAAAGTTTTTTCTGATAATTCAACTGAAATATGGCGTCTTGTAATTTGAGCCCCTTGTTGCATGTCCTGCACTCTTGGATGATCGAGAAGAAATCCTGCCCCTTCTCTGCACGACAGCCTTTCAAATATTTAAAAAGTGTTATCCTATCTTCCCTCCAACACTCTTGGATGCAATTCATCCAGCCCTGGAGATTTGAACTTGGTCAAGGTAGTAAGAACTTCCTTTACCATTTGATTATCAATCTCCAGCTTCCATCCTTTTTCCTCCACTTGCACTTCACATTTGTCTGGAGGGTCATTGTCTTTTGGGAAAAGACTGAGCTAAAATAGAAATTGAGCATTTCTGCCCTTTTTGTTTTGTTTTGTTTGTCTTTTGTAATCATTTTTCCACCTGCATTGAGTAGCTGAGCAACTGTTTCTTTTCTTTGTCTTTTGCTACGCGCATATCTGAAGAATTTATTTTGTTGCTTTTAGTGTGTCTAGCTTGTGGGACCTGGGAAACTACAAGCCAATTAGCCTAACCTCTGTTCCAGGGAAGATGGTGGAAAGCCTCATCCAAGATGAAACCTTAAAACACATAGAAGAACAAGTCTTCCTGAGGGAAAATCAGCATGGCTTCTCTAAGGGCAAGTCTTGCCTCACAAACCTTTTAGAATTCTTCAAAAAGATCAACAAGCATGTAGATGTGGGCGAACCAATGGTTACTGTCTATCTGGATTTTCAGAAGGCATTTGACGCAGCCCCTCACCAAAGGCTACTGAGAAAACCCCACAGTCGGGATAAGAGGGCAGGTCCTCTTATAGATTGTGAATTGGTTGAGAACCAAGAAACAGAGAGTAGGTGTCAAGGGGCAGTTTTCACAATGGAGAGAAGTGAAGAGCGGTGTGCCTGAGGGATCTGTCCTGGGACCAGTGCTTTTCAAACTGTTCATAAATGATCTGGAGACAGGGATAAGCAGTGAGGTGGCCAGGTTTGCATAAGACACACAACTTTTCTGGGTGGTGAAGACCAGAAGGGATTGTGAAGAGTTCCAGAGGGTTCTCTCCAAACTGGGAGAATTGGTGGCAAAATTGCAAATGTGTTTCAATATAAGAAAATAGGAAGTAATGTACATTGGGGCAAAAAAATTCAAAACTTTGTCAGCTGATGGGTTTTGAGCTGTCCGTGATGGATCAGGAGGAGAAGGAAAACTCCAATTTCAAACCTCCACTGCCTTGTGGCTATATCCACTCATGGAAAAGGCTTCAGGAGTTAACCTCGAGGCAAAATCCGGAGCTGGAGTCCTGAAG